ACTGCGCCCTACAAAGTGGGCCCTTGCCATGTCCCAAACCAGCAAGGCACTTACAGGGCCGTAGCCTCGACGAGCTATTCAACCAGCACCAGCGGCGGCGGTGGCGCAAATTTCTGCTCCCTGAAATCTGGTGCAGGGAGCAGGTCAGCCTTCATGCCGCTCTAAACCCAAGGTTTCCTGGATATCCCAGGCCTCACCCGCACAGTCCCTCGACCGCAGGCCTTCTTCTGCGGCACCTGGCTTGAAAGGGATCCATGCCGTGCATTTCGACCCCGGATTCGCAAACCCGTCTCTTTGACAAGGGGTTGGTTCCCTCGAACACTGGTCTGAACCCGCACCGAAGGGGACACCCCATCAAAATCAACCAGGGGGTTCTCACTATCTCCCAGATTTGCGTGTGAGCTGTTCGATTCAAGCATGTGGAGATCATGGCATGTCGGCTAGCAATGAACAAATGAGGAGCTAATACACAGTTTTCCTTCCCGAGACAAATCCCTTAGCTGAGCAAGCAATAAGGGTAGGACATACACAAAAACACGGCCATGTGTCAAAAGCCCGTACCCCCAGTGAACATCTCAATCCCCACTCAAAATAGACTAAAATGGGTGGTGACCCTACCTGAAATGGGATCCCATTGGTTTTGACCCACAGCCCACAGCCACACAAGGGGCCAATAAATCCGGAGTCCCAGTCCCAGCAGCTACCAACCTTGCCATGGACCACCAACCAGCACCACCAAGCAGCAGTAGAGTTTGTTTGGCTTGGGGCAAACAAATCCGGTATGTTCTCGAGGCGAATAAGAAACAGTTTTTGGGGCTGCAACGGCTGAGCTGGTTGCTACCCAAGAGCTACCAAGAAGAGCTGTCCTGACTGAGGTCCCAAACAGCCAAATCCTTTGTGGCACTCTTTACTAAACTGCCACCCAGCCAAATTTTCAAGGGGGTACAGGGAACATCCAGGAAGGCAACAATATGGCTTTTTTAAGGGTAGGGAATAGAGAAAAAAGTGTTGCACCCAGGGCCACCTGCCAGTAATAAACCAACACTAAGCCAATTCTGAACAGTACCTACTGGAAGACTACTAAGTCTGCAAGGGAACCCTCAAGCGGCCCTCAAACACCCAAGAGAACCCAACAAAAAAACCTAGCGAACCCAAGAGACATATCAAGAACCCAAGCAGAAACCTGCAGATCCCTGGCCTCTCCCCGCCCCGCTCAAGCTTTAGGCCGGGCACTTCAAAGCTCCTGAGGTTGTAGAGCGCCATGGCACTGCCACAACTTCTGCGGCAACGCGTTCAATGGTCCGATCTCACGGTATCGCATTCAGGGGAAACGCAAAGGCGAACATCCGCACATATGGTGTAGGAAATGCCTGGGCTCACTGAACATGAACTGCAGAGATGCTGCTCAATTGCAGAACTCCGCTGAATCCCTTTATGCGCTGTTTACATGCTTTGGTCGATGAGCCATGGCTGCAGCGCTCGCTGTCTGAATGCACAATGAAAGAACAACAAACATGTTGCTAACACAAGGCAGCAACAGAAGCCCAGATCTTCCATCAACACACTTCAAGTTGAAAATGCAATGAACCCACCCGCTGATCTCAATTTCAATCTGCCCTTCCTTCAGCACACATAGCATTTGCAGGAGAGTACCTGGAAATCAATTTTCCTGCTGCAAGGAACTCCATGCCAGGTGCCATGTCGGTGGGAGCTGTTGCAATGAGTCGCTAGTGGATGTTCCTCTCCCCCGCGATCGATTTGCAGACGGGTGGCTGCCCAGAAAGCTCTCGTTGAGGCTCTGCCGGAACCGCTGGAGCCTCGGGAAGCATGTGTGGACACCCCAGGGCAGGGTAGGATTTCGGGTTGGTTCGGGGTTGGTTAAATTTGGCTTAGGGCTGGTTTAGGATGGAGTTACGGCGCCGGTTTGTGGTTGGTTTAGGATTGGTTTAGGGGCGGGGTTGCGGCAAAAGAGCAAGGGTTGGTGTGTTGGGGCGTGCGGCTCCCCTTCATAACATTGGAACAACTGGGTTTAGGCTTGATTTAGGGTTTTGAGTGGGGGTCCTTTGCGGTCGGCTTAGGGTTGACTAAGAGGTAGTCAGGGTTGCTTGTGGTGTTTTGGCTTTGGGCTGGCTTAGGGCCGGCTCAGTGTGGTTTTAGGGTTGGGGTTGCGGAGAGCGGGCTGGGTTGGCCATCATAACATCGGCCGGGACACCAACAAAATAAATAGACTTGGGGTTGGTTCAGGGTTTAGGGTAGGCTTGGGGTGTAGGGTGGATTTAGGGTTGGTTCAAGGTTGGTTTTAGAGTTCGATTCGGGTTGTTTATATAGGGTGCGCTTTGCCTTGAGGCTGGTTCAGGGCTCGTTGTAGTTTGTTTCAAGGCACTTCCTGGTGATGCTACCGCGGCGGAATCCCAAAGCTTCAGCGGCCTCACATAGCAATGGGGTCAATGCTTTTGGCAGCGGATCAACATTCTAGTCATCTGAACAATCCAAGAATGGCCTAACCCATCCTGAACCTGACCTCTGTCAGCTTGCCTCTTTCAACTGAACAGCTCAAGCTCAGGCCCCCTGCGTGGAAGGAGCCTGCCGATCAACATGTAGACCCAGAACCGCGGCTATGCAGAAGAAATCAGGCGCGCCCTTTGCTTGGTTCCCTCCCCTGTCTAACACGGAACCCGCCAGTGGGTGCATTTTAGAGGGTGTTTTTTTCTTCCAGGACCATCCACTCAGGTTCCATGTTTGTGGATGGGAGGGTAGTTGATCTAAACAAAGGAGAGCCCTTCACAAAGACAAAGTGCACCTGGGTATCGTAGTTGCCCAGTTGCCAGGCAGCTTACAATGCCACTGAATTGCTGGGTAATTATTCAGGAGATCAAGAAACACCTGCTCGACTTGCGGAACAAGATTCGAAAATTCTCGGACTTTGTGGGTGGCGGTCAGCATCTGCCAAAAGCAGGGCAACATGAGATGTCCGCTGGACTACATAATCCCTCCATTGCCCAATGCCCAAAAAACCAACTCCAGAATAGCTTCCATCACACCCAAACCAAGGGACAAGTCCGGCAACACCACCACTATAAGAAGACATACGCCCTCCCGATTTGTTTTGCTATGGCGTTTACCAAACAGAGAAATAATCATCAACGACCAACAAAAGATTTTATTCCAAGGTAGGATCCTTTCAGATGGGTGTGTCTTTTTGTAGGAGCCCCTTTTTGGTTTGTCGTTTCAACACCAAAAGGTGAACACCCTTGTTTAATCACGCAAACAGAAAAAAATCCTTCAGCGAAGCGAAGCGAAGGGCGTGTTGTCTTGCACAGGCCCTTTCACAAGCTCTCCGCACAAAGCGGGGTGGGTTGAGTGACTGCACGGACTCTCGACTTATGTCTTCGCACCCCATGCGCTCTCTAAGGCATATTATTTCTTAAGGTTCCCCGAAGTTCCCCTGTTCTGAAACGAATCTCCTTTCTGCAACCCCGACCATGAGTTTTCGCGGTGAACTCGCATCAACTTAAACTCGGTTGTTCAGTGACACTGGCAGAAACGGAGATCCCTTTTGAGGGCTGACCACTTTTCGTAAGTGACCCGCCAATCAAAACGCGCAATCGGCTGCGGAGCTGAGCGAAAGCGGACCTGTTCCGAGCCGCCCTCGAATGAGACTGCCTGCGTGGGAAACGCTGGACCCACGAAGCCCTTCGAGTTCGGGAGCTGGGCGACGAACCACAGGCTTTTCTCAAAAGCCACAAGACGGTAACGGTTTCCCAAGGTCCAAAGGCAACAAAGCATGATTCCATCCAAGTGCCCGGAATTCGGGAAGGCGAAGCCATCAAAATGGGCGGTTGCTGCGGCTTCTCTTTAACCCAAAAAGGGCACAACGAGCCTCAAAACAAACCAGCCACCGACATGCAAGCCCCTTGAAACCGGACAGCCCGGTTTCACCCCTGGAAAAAAATGACCCAAGGCTTGGTGACAAAGATGCATATGGGTGTGGTTGCTGGCCCCCTCTTCCGTGGTCTTTAAAGGAAACCACAAGGCAAACCGAAGTCCATTTTGGGGTCCAATAAGAAAAGACCCATATCAGTATGAACCCATTGCTCGGAAAATATGGGGACCTAACGCTTTCTCATCAGTCCAATATTGGGCTTTGATGTCGAGCCCGACTGCATGAACAAAACTGGTCAAGTTATTCTGCGGCATATTTTCTCGACACCTCTATGTCTATGTATTCCTATAAACCTGTACGCTCATCCGCTCACAAGAAGTCTACTGCGAAACATCCAGAAAGGCCCTCGAGAGCTCGCGAGGCATGGGGGGAGCTTGAAAAAAGGACGCACAACGCACAACGATCGCAACGAGGGAAACAGGAAACCACCCAACTGCAGGGAGATCGCAAGGTAAGCATTTCTTGTATGAGAATTCTCTCCCTGAGGGTTGATTGCCCGTGGGTGCGGGCAGCAGAGTAAAAACGCTTGCAGGTCCAGTGATTCGAATGGCGTCTAACGGCCTGGATCACTTTCGTTGCAGGGACATTGACGGGGGACCTGTTCGCAGCCTGGGCTTGAGAAGGCTCAAAACATGTGTAAAATGCTTGCTCCTTGTTGTGAAACAAGTTGAATTTAGCGTGCTATGACTTGGCACTCGCAAGGGGATTCCCGAAGAGTATCACAGAACGTGACCCTAAAAATCGGCAAAACAAGCGGGGCCTGGGTCGCCAGCGAGGGTAAATGTTGCAGTCAAGTCATCCGCAAGTCTTCCCCTCCAACGCCGATATAATCACTACCCTCCTGTCCACAAACATGGAACCCACCAGCGGGTCCACTTTAACAAAAACACGGTCTTCCAGGACCCCCCAGACAGGTTCCATCTTAGTGGACAGGAGGGTACGGACCTCCGTAGAGGGTTTTTCGTTGACTGGGCTGGGGAGTGGGGAGTGGGGAGTGGGGGCTGGGCTTGTGTGGTTGGAGTGAAGATGCACGGCTGCCACGTCCGCCTTTTTCTTTCGCCAATCGATTGCGTCGCTTCAGGCGAAGGCGGCCAAGTCCCCAAGCAACTCCTCCAGCGCAGCGGCAGCCTCCACTGACCTGCTAAACAGTGGGCAGGTTGGTTTCGGGTCCAATATGTCTACTTTAAGGACCACAAAAGGGAACTTTAAGGAACCCCAAAACTGAGGTTTATGCCGAAAAAGGGGGAATGTGCAGAATCCTGTAACTTCCTATCCCATCCAAAGGCTCACTCCCCCGTGTCGTTTCCTATGCCCATGAAGGAGATCTGTGAAATGCCACGTCGGGTTGCTCCGAAACTTGGCACTTGAGCTACGGGAACCAAACCGAAGGGGGTCATCCTGGAACTCGGAGCGTCATCCTGCAATGCGGCGGTTGCGTAGTGCACATGGCCATATCTGGCCATAGGCATATGGGTATGGCTCAAAATTAAGCAGCTGTTGTTACGCGGGTTTTCGTCTTTGGATCCATTTACCAAGGTGCCATTTTGGTACCACTTTTTTGAGCCACTGCCATATGGCTATCGAGCTTGCTAAGGTTATGTGTGGTTCCATGCTTGGCATCCCGACTGAAGTTTAAGTAGCACCAATATTCTTCAAGCACGTGTGCCTGCCAACAAACACGCGGAGCCCTCTTCAGTTGAACTTTAAGGGAAAACCAACACTTCCATTTGTAAGAGTCCTATGGAAAAACAACATAATCACATTTCCAGTGGCAATAGATTCCCTTTACAAGTAACAGGGGTAACAATAACATGTTCTTGAGCAAATGAAAGAACACAACTGGAAGATTGGACAGGACTCATGAGTGTGCCTTAAAATAGGGGAACCACCCATAAGGTTGGGTTCCTTCACGTTTCCATGTCAAATCATCCAAAAAGGCTTCCATGAAAAAAAAAAAAACGACTCACATGCCTATGCCTCGATGACTGCCTCTCGACTGAAACGCGCCTGGGAGTCTCCGACAAGCTGGAGGCCAGAGTTGCCATATCCCGGACGAACCTCTGGCGATCCGAGTCAAAGGCTTTCGACCCGACGGGGGGGGGGTGCTGTTTTGAAGCTCGGTAACCTTTTGGAGGTGGGTTCTTTAAAGGGCAACCCACATAAAACCAAAGGGAAACCACAAGGAACCTTTTTTTTGGCTGTCCCTTTGTGGTGTCCCAAATATAGGGGACACCAAAAGGGTCCTAACCTTTGTTTTGGTGTGCTCCCTATTTTCTTTTAAAAACACACCCGTGATTTAAAGCCGACGCTACTGTAGCCCTTAAAGTGAGCTCACGGGGGAGCGAAAAGAGCACCGAGAGCACCCACGCCCGTCAGGTGGCCCTTATTCGTGCTGCGATCCGAGTCCGGGCTTTGGGAATGAACGGGAAGGGGATTCCCGTAAAAGAAAAGCACAGGGGATGGTTTTTAGGGGTGATTCCCTCATTCCCTGCTGAAAACCAGCAAGTTATTCGTGGTTTGGATTGCTGGGGGTTGAACAAGTTTGAACCCCTGATTCTTATAACTGGGAAGCTACCCCCGAACCTCCAACAGCCAGTCCTAAATGGCCAACTAGGGTTGGAACTAGCTGCAAGATGATGTGTTCTCTCGCTTCCTAGCTTCCAGTTCGTAAAGAATAATAGCTTGCGGACATAGGATAGACGCAGCCAATAAGGCCAGAAGCCAGCCGGGCATCAGGCTCAACAAGGGGCTTCTGTATTGGGGTTGCCCACGTTTCCTTTCAAACGCTGCATGTTGATTCAAAGGTTTCAATTGAACCTGCCACTGGAGGTTCCAGAAAGGGACATGGAGGAAACCCCGATGGAAAAAGAGAATGGGAAGGAGCCCGCCATCTACTGCCCCTTGCCCCTTGCCCCTATCTAAGGCTGACGCTCCCCAGGCAGCTCCGGCCCGCCCTGGTAGGCCTCGGTTTGGGGATGTCTCTATGAGCCTGGTGCTCAGGACTGACCGAGTCCGGGATTTAGAAATGAACGGGCCCCCTTTAAGGAAACTACAAGGAATGATTTAAGGCTCATTTCCTCATTCCCTGCTGACCAGCAAGTAAATTTTCTGAGCTGGAAGCAACCGCAAGCGGGCGGTTCCAAAAGTCCCCTCAATGATGTCCACCGCAATGATAAAAATCAGTTGCAAATCAAGAAAAGGCTATGGAGGGGCGTTTAAAATTGACAGGAATCCAGTGGACGACTCCGATATGTTCTCCTCCGGAATATGGGTTGAGTCTGGTGGTTTTCGACTTTTGACTTCCCTCATAGTCCATGGTGACCTGGTTTTGGGGGGGGGGGGGGGGGCGGGGGAGTTCTTCATGGCCTTTTTTCTTCGGGATTTGCACCGGGAAAGACGGGCTCCGGCGTCCCCTTTTCAGAAACCAACCTCAAAAAGAGCATCGCGCCGGCAAAAAGACGAGGGGCCCCAGTGGCCGAGGATTGAAGAGCCTTCCCCTTGAGCCTCGACGTGCGTCGAGTCTTTACTCGGTGATTGTGTTGCCGGTTTGGATGGATTGTTTGTATTATGTGCCCTTTGCACTTGAAAGGGTTACTTCTATTCCTTTCGTGGTGTAAACAAGAACGCCAAAAAAAGGGGGAACAGAAGGAATGCCGATTCTGGGCAGCATGCTGTAATTCATCAAGCGAGAAACAAATGATTCCCGAAGGGACCTGCATGGGCGAGGTCGATTTACCCAAGGTGACCTCATTAATATTTGTACAAACGCACGTACACTGGGTAGGACAACATCGCCACACAGGCTACACGCATGAGAAAAAGCAACTTGATACCCACAACACAACCCCATCCCAATGATTCCCGCTACCAACTATTGGATGCTCGGAAGTGGAGCAGGAGATTAAGGTCCGCATAGCGGACATGGACACTAACGTTTTCCAGGCATTTCAAGATGCCATCAGCCTTGAAGCAATGTGGGTTGCTTCTTTGTTGCATTTAGTTTGCACAAGACGGTGTCTGGCGACGATTCAACAGAACCTTTAGATTATTTGCGTGAGTTTCAAACACAGGGAGTCGCCTGAAACCAGCTGGCGTCCTGTTGGTGGGCATCACCTACAAGCGGATGTATGCCACCACCAAGGACTTCTGTGCATATCACCACTCAAAGCCATAGCCCTTCATTCACTGCTTCTTTCCCTTCAGGGCACACTGGGAGTGTCCCCAAATCACGGAAGCCCCACATGTTTGCAGCGACGCCATAAGGGCCCAACGCATTCCGGCCATGGAATCTGCAGGTTTTACAGTATGTCCAAAAGCTGTTTCTTTTGGGATCCCCAAGTAAAGGACCTTGACCATGGTGAGCTGCTTCCGTTTACCCTGGAACGGTGAGCCCGCCATAAATTATGCAGATGGATCGCGACAAACCGTGAGGCGCTCACCGGGTGATTCGCCAAGCGCCGGCGAAGCCAAGCCTGAAGCTATCGAAGTCAGAATCGTCTCCATGTGGGTGGCTTGTCTTTTTAGGAATCCTCCCCGAATGGATTTCGGCTTTCGTTTTGGTTTCCCCTCAAAACCAACAAAGAATGGGGCCCCGGAAAAAACGAAGAGCCTCCCATGTTTGTCGTGTGCACAAACAAACACCGGGACTCGTCTCCCCGTTTTTGTGATGCTCAAAGGAAAACGTATACCAAGAACACACCCGCACCCCACATTTTTGGACATACCCATGGGGCACCAGCTAGTGACAGATTCCGTGTAAAGCCAACCTGAGAAAACTAACATATTGTTGAAAGACGAAACCTCTCCTGAAAAGGATCCAATCCTGCACACTTCTTTTGGTGAATGGACAGTAAGCTTGTGGACCATCCTCTTGGAACAAGGCCACACTGCGAGCCGCCTCATTCGAAGCGTGAAGGCGGGGTTCTGGATAACATGCTGTTTGCTGAAGCAAGGTCAGCGTGCTTACTTTCGCCTGCACACGCTTCCCTCTGGCTGCAAGCAATCCGGGATCGTTTTGTCTGCAGCGGGGCCGGGAGGGTTTTGTTCCAAGTCAAATGGTTGCACCTCCTATTCAACAAATCTGCGACGGGATCATTCAGCTGCGTAAATCAATGCAAATATTGAAAGATGAAACACTGCATAGGAAAAGGGACGAGGCATCCCTCCCTGAAAGTGCTCAGAACTCACTCCAGGGAAAATCTGTCTCACACGCCTGTTTGAAGACCTCGTGAAGCAACATGAAGCAACATGAAGAAACCAAGCAGCAAATATGCACCATCACTTAACGGCTCTTTCCCGCCAACCAAGTCCAACAAGCAGACCCAACGGGTGCCGCATGCCCCAGCCATTTCCCCAGATCCGGGCGGCTGCAGGCGTTGGTAGCTCGCCCCGGGTTCGGCGACGAAAGAGCTCGACCTAGGGCCGAGCCAAACGGCCACCCTCCCGGTCGTTTCAAGCAACCTGGAACTCTCTGGCCAAAAACCAAAGGAACGGAAACTCCGACCGCTTGGGCTTCTTCGGGTTCCCTTCAGGTTCTCAGGGGGAAAACCCACCAACATCTTCCTGTATCTTTCTGAACGCAGCCAATGCAAGATTCAATCGTGGACATCAGCCCCAAAAACGGCATGCGACGAATCCTGACAGGTGTACCAAAACAACGACATGGCAGGTTTCGATGGTTTGGTCAAGAAATTACATAAAACCTTGAAGGCTAGGGCTCCAACCGCAGGAGGCCCTTGCAAACACTGTGACAATGTCCTGGCTGCCTTCATCCGCCCTTGACAAGAAGTGATCCGCACCAGGGCTGGGCCCCGTTTGAATTTCCACCGCACCCGCCGCCACCGGGGCACTCCAACACTAAAATAGTTCTAAAGTCTGACGTGGGCATCCGGGACCATCCCTACTTCGTACGGCCCGTTCGGCAGAACCATTTCCCGTACAAACTGCCAATTCATTTCAAATCCAGCCGAAGTATTTCCTGCAGAATTCAGCTTTGTCTAGTTGCTTCTTCAATCACGCAAAATGGCCAACACATGCCTTCTCCTGCAGACCACCTTCTTCCCCACAGAAGAAGGGTTTTTTAATCCAACGTTAACATTGCGAAGGACTGGTCTTCGCATGAAGATGGTGTCTTTATTGACCTCATGTGCCCCAGTGTTGCGTCATTGGGAGGCCGATCCTTTGCCACACTTTGCGGGTCAAGTTGGCATACCCCCACAAGGAAACCTACACCTTTAGAAACTTGCCTATGCCCTTAAAGACTAAGGCAGTCCAAGAGCAGCCTGAGTCCGAACTGTTTCCCTATGTACATTTCTTGGAAGCAAATCGGTGGCCGCAGTTCCCTCGTCAGACGATGTGCGTAGCTGGAGAAGAGCTTCAGGGTGTCGTCGGAGCACTTTCCTGGCCGATGGACAGTTTGCTCTCGACTTGTAGAAGAGCTATGCTGCCTGCAACTCTGAAAAAGACACGAAGACATCAGTTTTCTGGTTGAAGTGGAGGCTAAATCCCAAGCTTCGTGGGGGGTTGGCTCAATAACCCAAACCTTTCTTTGGAACATCTTTCCAAGTCAAGGACAAAGGGCCTGTAGCTTACCAAGACCCATTTAACTCCTATATCGTCCGCATGCGCAAGGGAAACCCGCATTGGGACACGATGGAACCACAGTCTGAGCTTAGGCGCTTCCGCACAGGCGTCAGCGGGCCGCTTCGTCTGGCTGCTCATCTCTTGCTTTCATTTGAGATGCGCTGAGACGGCCTGCGCGAAAGAACTGTTTAAGCATATCCTCACTCTGGGCAGGGCACTGGAGGCTCTGGGGGCTCTGAGGGAACATCGGGAACCTCAAATACACCCCCAAACGAATTGGGCAGCTTCGGCATTTCACTCACGCAATGTGCTGTCCAGTCTAGATTTGCTTCTTGAAGAAACTTGCCCCCAATGTGACCCGCCCGAGCACGTCCGGCAAGGCTTCTTGGGCTTGTGTGCTATGTTGCCAACTTAGAGGCGGCTCGGCCATTGCGAGGTTCAGGCATCTGAAAGCTTCTTCCCGCTTTGCCCGGGCTCACACGGCCCTTGTTGCCAAAGGCTGTACAAGAGTGACTTCTCTGAGAGACTGGCTAGCTGACCGAAAAAAACTCGCCCAAGGACCAACACGAAAAAGCCGTCCAAACCGTTTTTGAGCAGTTTGCCAACTCAAACGGGTTAGTTCTAAGTGTGGGATTGACCAAAACATTGGGAGAAAGGCTCCTAACAACTCCCCCAGATTGATTTTGGTGGGGGAATTGGATTCCAGCGGGCGCGCAAGTCTAACCCCAAATGAAACCCATCCTGTCCAGAAACGTAAACGGGATTCCAAGGAACCCCCGTTTTCAAGCAGTCCAATCCGGGGCGGATGTGGATTCTTCTGGATGTCAAAGGCTCCCAAAAATTGCTACAGGGCGCAATTTTCCCTTTGGTTTCCCTATGCAAACGCATGGGTTCTCGAAAGCCACAAAGAAAGGGAGTGCTGAGTTTTGACCACGGCACATATGTTCTAGTCCACGGGAAGATGGGGCTTGTCTAGCTTGGGCTCAAGTGAAGGGTCGCAATCCACCTGCGCCCTTGAATGATTCGCACACGTAGGATTGACCGACCTGAATCAAAGGATCCCTCATGTCGGTCGTTTCACCCGCAGGGGTGAGCTCATACCATGTACAGAGCTCTATGGGTGCGTCTTGTTCAGAGCTGGCACTACACCTATTTTGGCAGTCACTGTGCATTGAAACCGAAGGGAAGCCGACGCAACCATTTCATGGGCAAGTCATGTATGCCATGATTCCTGTTGGTCCAGCCGCCACAGGGAGGACAAGGTATCTGGCGCCCCCGAAAACAAAGAAATATTGAAATATACTTTTATATACCTAGGACACAAAACAAACAAAGCATGGGTCGTGCGCCAGCGGCAATTTGTCTGAAGTAATCGGAGAAATTGAAACAACCCAACAAAAGAATAAGCGCATAACCCCATGGGCGCTAAGACGCGCTAAGCAGCGATCTAAAGCATAAACTTATGGTGAGCTGAAGTCAGCCAAAATCACGCTTGTCCCAGTTTGCCAAGAACCGTACAGAATTTGGTGGTTTCTCAAAATGGGGGAACCGTTCTCGGAGGGCGTTAAAGAGGGACCAAAAGGACACCAGCGACTTGCAGGAATCGGTCCCAAGTTTGTTAAACCCCCCCCCCCCTCCACAGTGCAAACTGACATCTTGCCAAAGCTTGGCGAGACACCTTGTTTTTGGGAACACCGTGTTACCATGGCTGCACAAAATCCTGCTGGTGGTGGTGTGCCCCGGAATTCATATAGTCTCACTCATCCCAACTCGGCAAATGGCCGCGTCTTTTTTAGAGGACCCCCCAAAACGAATATTTCAGCTTTCCTTTTGGTTCCCTTTGAAACCAAACAAAGACCCACAATTGCCACTATGTTTTTAGCAGGGAGTCACCTCAAAAGTGATTTGTGGGCATGAATCCCCACCCAAGTGGTGTCCACCAAAGGGTCCCCAAAAAATAGATCATACCCATCTCCGCTATCGTTACGTGGTTTGTTTGTTGGGGCTTCTGGTCACCGAATTCCCAACTGGACGGAGCCCAGCCCGCTCCTTCACGATGCCGCTGCTGCATGAAGCTCACACACCGGGTGAACCTCGCCCAAAGAAGCCCCCCCCCTCCCAGGTTAGGTTCATCGGGGAAATGAAGCCAATGGACCATTCTCGTATGGAATTGTTCATTGGTCCATGTGGGTCTGTCTTTCTGTTGTGGAACCGCTCTTTGGTTGGTTTTAAAGGGAAGCCAACCGGAAAACTGGTTTGCCCTCTTGTCTTTTTGTTTTTTTTTGGGGGGTCCAGTTTTGCAGCTCTGCATGAGGAAACACGTAGACTGGGCCTGCCTTCAAAAGTCGCAAACCGAAGTAGAAGCCCACGAAGACTGCTTAATGTTGACCCCGGATTAATAAACCCCTGTGTATTCATATGGGGGTGTCCCTGGTTTTAGTGGGGATTTATCACTTTTGGAGGGGAACACCCCCATATTCATAAACACGGGTGTATTCATCAGGGGTTATTAATCCGGGGTCAACATTAGGATCTTGTTTGTTTGTGATTGTCCTCATCCATTTCGGTTGGCCAGCTGTTGAACAACAACCTTCACTGCCGAACATGCCGGCCGGTGAGCAAGCGGTCGATGCCAGAACATATGGCTACGATTTTTTTGAGGGTCTGTAACGCGCGACGCGCCTCACGGAGGTCTGTAACGGAGGTCCCTGTTACGCAGGTCTGTAACGGGAAAACATGTCTTGACAAGTATCAGTATCAGTAGCACAATGTAGCGCAGAACAACGAAGAGCAGCAGCTCCCGCTCGAACCTCGCAACTCTTCTGCACAAGCGCAGTACGCAAAGCACGCCTCCGCAGCCCCAGCTTAAAATTTGCAACTGCCGACACAAAGCCAAGCGATGGCAAAAAGGGGGGTCACTGGCCCAGCCTGGGGTTGGGTCTGTAACGAGGTATGCAACGGCTATGTAACGAGGTCTGTAACGAGGCGCGAAGCAAAGCGCAGTCTGCAAAGCGCGCCTCCGCAGCTCCAGCTTGATTGCAGCTATTCCACGCAAGCCACGCTGCGGCAAAAAGGGGGGTTGCCGGCCCGGGCTGGGGTTGGGTTTGTAATGAGGTATGTAGCGAGGGGCATGCAACCAGCCAAGCGGTTTGCTCATCTGAGGTGTGTAGCGAGGGTGGGTAACGAGGGGTGTGTAACGAGCCAGCGGGTCTTGTTACAGAGGTCTGTAACGAGGTCTGTAACGAATGCCCGCCGCGGCTCTGTTGCAGACCCCTCAAAAACATTCACGGCCATATTATTGCAAGAAGAACATGGGACCCTGTGAGATCCCGGCAAATTTATTGGGTGTTGTGATTGCCATCTGGTTCGTCCACTTGCAATATTTCGGGCATCTATAGCGCAAGTTGTGTTGAGCAAGGGGCAGGGCACCATCCCTGCAACAGTTCCGGGCCACTGTTTTGATGTTTGTTGTAACTACAAAGCTCAGCCAGCATCTGGTTCCTGAGATGCCTTGGTTGATGGGCCTTCCCAAAAAGAAGTTGACCCTTGGCTCCATTAGGGAGGCGTCAAACTTGGCTATGAACCCCAGGGGCCCTGTTGGCAATCTGAATTCGGGGACGTGACCAACATGAAACCAACTGCTTGGGATCCTAGTTTGACACATTTCCATGTTGCCCAACCAGACACCGCCAACAAATTTCCCAGCGGACGTTGAGGCGACCACACCCCAATCTTGCTGAAGAGGATCTCCTCGCGCGAAGCGGCGATGGGAACCTTCCGAGTGCCCTGAAAGCGGATCCCCATCAACTCGGCCTATGAACCGAATTGCAACCGCCTCGATCCAAGTGGACAAAAGCCACCTGAGGCTACACGATCTTCGAAGGGAATGTCTCTGATTCTGTAAAAATACATATTTTGGACTTGCATTCGGGATCTCAAGGAGATGTGAACACACACACACACATGTTGTTTTGCGCAAGTTGTTGAACACAAGCTGCATGGCAAGTGCCCTCAATAGGATCTCAACGTCACTTTGCGTGCCAAGATGTGAGAGATAATGTTTGCCAGTGGCAACTGCGATGGCTAGCCACACGAAAACAAAATTCTAATTCTACTCCAGCTATCAACACGCCGCTTGTCTTTCACGACAAGCAACCCAGCCCTCCATCCATTCGTTCGCGTTTAGGTTGCAATACTGGATTGCGTGTACCTGGGAAATATTTATCCACCTGTGACGTTAGGGAAAGCCAACATTGGTTTTTGCTCAGCATAAAGGATGACAGGTGTTCTTCCAAATGGTTTGCCCTTTGGTTTCTCTTTGGTTAAACCGCGGCCAAAACGCGCCCCAAGAAAAACTGTGCCCAACCCATTTGACGCCAGAGAGAGGGCTTAGCGCAGTCAACCAGCGATGGATGAAATCACATGAAATACTTGACCGCGTTTTGCGGAAATAGTCTGGTCATTTCACACAGCGGACCCCTTGCGACAAACTCAGGGAAACACGTCGTGCAAAGCACTGAGATGCTCCTCCAAGGAAAAGTCGGCGACACTGTCACCTGGGCAAGGACCAGGGGCTAGGGTTGTCTGGGTCTGTAAACTGGACGGTTTTGATCTCCCTGCAAAATAGCCACCAAAGGGTACCGGGGGTACCGGTAAAACGGCACTCCCATCAAACTCCCCTGAGTCTCTAAGCTGTTGAAAAGACTTGATAAGACCTACGTCGGAGGGGTCGCCTAAACCAGTTCCAACAAATGGGTGCTAAAATGATCTGCTACACATACATGATTGACCTTTGGTGCAAGCTGGAACCAGTTGAATACAACCCGTTTAGGGCTCCCTGACATTCTTCAGTTGCGTATAGTTGTGTTCCAAAAGTTGCAGAGTTGCGCGCCATTGTGCGCTCACGGTGCACCGGCATACGTTCTATCAGGGTGAGCCTACTACCGGCGCCGTGTTAGCTCAATCCACAGGAGTCGAACGCCGTAGCCATAAGTTCCTAGCCAAACCTACACAAATGCAATCATGTGGTCGAGCTATTATGTCGTGCTGACCGAATACGCACATGCTTCTTTTCTCCGCACGGCCACAGCTACAAAGCCACGATGTTGCCTGAAGCGTCTCCAAAATACCACAGGAGCCTTGAATTTTCCAGTAGTTTACGTGGGCACAGAAACGCACCCAGGCTTGCCATTGGGCTTGAACGAGCCATCCAAAATTGGAATTAACTATTGTTCACCTTATCAAACTAAAGGAGCAAGAAGGATTGAACTTGAACAAGCAAGGGTTAAGGAGCGACTGTTGCTCAAAGTCCAACTTTTAGCGGGTTACATGGAAACCCCCACGAAACCAGCTAAAAAAGCAACAAATATTTTTGAAGCGGATGGCTGGGAACCACCAAGTTCGTTAGGACCTTGCTTCAACCACTTTTCCGAGACGCAACTCCCGCCTGTCTCGCGGCTCTCCGGCGGCGCCGCTGAGGTGTCAGGATACGGGCTGCGCCCGCCTCCAGCGCCTTCAGGGTTCGGAAGCTTGTCCCAATGGATGCAAAACCTCAGGTGGATGGACCAAATCCTGCGATTGGTTTGTGGATCCAGGGCTTCCATCCCAAGAAGCTTGTTTGTCCCAGGGCTTCATCCAGGGAAAGTGGATGTCCATCCACATGCTTCCAACAACCGGCGTGTTGTTTCCCTGAGACCTGGGCTGCTTCACATTCAGGCCTCCCCGACCCAAGAAATCCGCGCGGAAGAAGAAGCGCTGCTGGCATACAGCTCCAACACCTCAGGCCATGGAAACCAAATGCGCGGATCCCTGAAACCATAGCTTTCTTCGCCCTGGGCTCTCTGCGAAACTTGGGTTCTTGGAATCATAAGCATGCGCAATGGGTGAAGCAACTCCAAGCTTTCAAGCGTTTTCCACGGTAGCCTTGGTAAAGATAAACAAGAGGTCAACCCAATTCCACGATTTGTTGGCCCCGTTTCACCCGGGTCAAATGGGGGCCACAGGCGCTGGCCGCCAAAAACCCGCGCGGGTTCCCCGCCCAGCGGTTTTGAAATGCTTGTGCTTGGAACCATGGACTCCTCTTCTGCCTTTCGTCCCAGGAAAAGTTGGCAGCAGAAACCCTGACAGTCCAAACCCAAAAGGACACGGCATTATCTTAATGCCTGATCTGAGGACTTGTTGATTACTACGATACTGCAACTCAGAGAATCTCTGGGATTGAACTTCGAAAAAAACGTCTATTCTCAGGATCGTCGTTTGAAGAGATACCTTGAAATGGTTTGCTCCCTGGTGTCTTTCTCAGTAAGCCAAGAGAGCTGCAGTGTGCATACATCTGCGCATGGAAAAAATGACAAATGAATGTATGCTATCAAAGTCTGCCTATGCACGCATGATTCACTGGGCTGAAACAACAGCTAGTACACGATACAGCGATGTGCAATATTAAGAAGTTTCGCCCGTAATGGAACATGTATTGCAGCCCCTAAATTGAAGCGAACCCACCCATAAGCACATGGTTGATGCGACCTCTGCCTAGGTGCAACTTTAAGCGGTTATCTGTATCTTGTGGCCGCGAAAGTCTTCCGTGGCGCGACCTACAAGTTGCCAAGTTTGTGCCGCTCAGCTACGCCAGTGGTACCGAATAACACATTAACTCAAATTCCCAGAGAATCACCCTCTTGTTGTTCTTGCTCAGAGACCCGCATTTTACAGGCTACCCGATGTGTTTAGTGCTATGGCATCACCTTGGTGACCCCTTTTTGGTTGGCTTTTGAACCGAAGCCACCAGGAGAACCAGCCATTTCGGGGCCCCCCGCCGCCGGAGCGCTCGAGGTTCTGCTCGACCCGGGAGATCGGCATGTAAAGGTCCCAGCCTGAGCCCATTGCCGGTGTGACCAATGGATCTAAAGTCAGAAGTTGGCCCAGAGGTTACAATGGGTTCCACTTTTTGACGTCAGGGTAGACTTAAACCAAGGGGTGGTCCATTACCCCCAAAAGAGGAACCCCTGGGTTTAAGTCCAACAAGTGGAACCCTGGGTTACAAACCAACCACAAGAAGGAACTGCTCCCGAACCGGATGGTTTATACATATAATTCGGGATAAATACCTCCGAGGTACATCTCGAACCCTTCCCAAATCCATCTTGCCCTTCAGTCTCACCGACGTGCGCCTTCTCTGTGGCCACTCTGAATCCAGGATACTTGCGTGCGTTGAGTAGATGACCGCGGATGGGGCAAATGAGCTACGCAAGCAGATTGTAGTGCATCAGACCACGTATTCATGAGAGCGTATGTCATTTAAGCACCCATTGCAGACTAATTAACTGCTAATATATATATATATATATATATATATATATACCGTACCAGTAAGGCATGCCACCACATGCTTGCAAAGGTAAACAAGCCCTGCCAGAAACACAGTGCTGGCATAGTGCGCTGATAAGCAAACTAAACAAGCAAAGACAAGATTGGCTGGATTGTGCGTAAGCCTTGCAAATATGCCGGAGTGCAAATATTTGAAAGAACCTGAAAGTGCGGCAAGCTTGACGCAACATGTTGCTCCCATTCTTCAATTATTCTAAAGGAATATGCTGTACATCACCTGGCGAGAGGGGATTTCTATGAGAGATTCGTCCGGGGGGTTCGCCCAGTTCACCCCCTGGTGAGCTCTCCAGCACAAACAAACGCAGAAATCGAGACCAGCTCAGTCAGTAGTGCCAAACGCTCACAAGCACCTTCAATTTGTTGGGGGTTGTCTTTAAATGAGGAGGCCCTCCCAAGCAAGATGGGTAGTTTCCTTTTGGTTCCCCCACTGAAAACAACCCTTTTCCCTAAAACGGGAACGTTAAAAATACAACCGGATACGATCCGCAGAATACAGCGCAAACAAGCATTACCCCACTCGCTGATGGGATTGCGTTGCGCTTTCCCGTTACAACCAACTACCAGTAGCCAAGAGTCTTCCCACAGTTTTGGAGCCCCCCTATTTTTGACACATTCCTATTTTAGGAGCCGACCCCATGCGTCTCCCTTTGGTCGCCGGACGCTCTTCAAGGATGACCTCTGCCAAGACCCTGGCAATAGCAACCACCTGGGCACGCACCGTCAGAACCCCAAACAAGCACCGTCAGAAAGCGACACTCTGATTTGCTCCTCACATCTCCTCACAATAGTCGACACTTCGTACAAGCGGAGTCTAATTTCCCAGAAAAATGTCATCAGTCGAAATTGCAAGCCTTTCCGTACTCGTTTCCTCAACGCTGTCAGTGATGATTGCGGCTCGACAGGAAAATTGCCATGTCAGAATTCTCGCCCCGGGCCGGAACCAGGACTTCCCCGACGGCGTGCTGTTTGGATGACTATCGTCTGGCATAGTGGATTCACGGGGGCCGGAAACACTGCCTTGCTTGAGGGCCTGGGTCTTTCTGGATTTCCGGCTCCAGCCAAAGAAAAACACTAGGCCCTTGAGGAAGCCTTGTATTGTGCAAACAAACACTGGTTCCAAACATGTGGCAGGAAGGGAGGTATGCCAAAAGATGCGCAAAGCGCGTGCGATTCGGTTCGGCCTGAATGAGTTGATCTCTTCATCTGAGTCAAACGCAAACAGTCATACACTGCTAATGTGGCTCGGCTGAAAACATGGACAACTCAGAATTCTGGTCAAACTATCGACTAGATCGATGAGCTGACAAAAGCGTCCCTAGTCACCGAAAATGCCCGAAATGAAAGGCGCATTGGGCGTTCGGGCAGCCCGAGATCAATCCCTCAAAGTAAAGTGCCTTGCGGGAGGTCTCATCACTGCCGCTTCCTGCAGCATATTTGTTGGCACAAGCACTTGAATATAATGTTCGGATTAAAATGGTACGGCAATCAAGAGCACGCGGCTTGCGAGCCAGTAGCCCTACTAGAATACTCGCACATTGTCAGAGTGCCAATCTCGGTTTTACAGCACCAAAGGTTTACCTGAACTGTGACAGTTTGCACCGCCTGGAAAGCAAGGCTATGCATCAAGCTATAGCTTGGTGAATTCATGTTCGGCACCGCTTACAACTCGCTGAAGCCAAGACCAATGGGAACCACTGCAGAATTCACTCACAGCAAAGCACCAAACCCCTTTTTGCTGGTCGACTTCGAATTGTTTGCGGCGGCAACTTACCATAGGCCCACAACTCAGCGCCCTTGTAAACATCTGGCCAATTTGCCGCGCATAGGTGTCCTTCTGGAGAAAATGGTCCTGGTAAATGCGGCATAAAACCAATCTAAACCAGTGGAGCCCATCTATCTTCAACCAATTGACCTAAAAAGGACACCTACTGTGGATGGACGAAATCCTGCACCACCTCAGAAGCCCTGGAATGATTCGATTCCCCAACGCAAACACCAACAAACGTTCTGGTTTCAACCATGGTTTCGTTTCGTGGTGCGGACGGATTTCGTCCATCCACAGTATATATATATATATAATATATATATATATATGTATGTCATATGCCATGGGGGGGGGTGTTGGTTGATCCTCATGTATATATGTTCCCACGGCTTTTTGGGGCCATCGGGCCCCCGCTCTCGCGCTCGTCTCCGGAGCTCGAGGCTCCGGCGGCCGCGTTCTCAAAGTCTGTGGCCTGGGCCTGCCGAAGCCGAAGCAGCTGGTCGAAGGTATGGCTGTGGCTCTCAAAACCGTTTTGGGATCCCATTGGATGGCAGGTGAATCCACCACCCATGTTCGTCTACTTTAGTGGGGATGGCCATGTCTGGGGGTGCGGAATGTCTGGGGGTACGTGCTTTTGACCCATGGCCAGATCTCTCCTTGGAAAGTTGCAATGAACTGGGTGTCCATTGAAACTGCCGCGTTTGGAGGTTCCAAAAAGGGAGGTGGAGGAAACCCTGCTGGTTTGCTGGCCAAAACTGCTTGTTGTCCCCAACAAAAAATGGGGACTCTCTAAAAAAGCATAGCTGCACCAAGAAGACTTGGCCTTTTCTCCAGACCCTGAAGGAGATTTGAGTCATTGCTCTTGCCATGTTGTTGTTCATAGTCTGAACAAGCTGTAGGTGATCTCACAGCCAATAAATCACAGACTTCACAATGCGTTGCCCCTTCCTTTGCAATGCATTTATTTTCGAATAAACGCATTCCACTGGTGCATTCTCAGAACCAAACTTTGATTTCCAGTGCCCATCTGGATTCTATCCAGGCAGTTCAAACAATAATCACTGGATGTTCCGCAACTTACAGGTGGTGTCCAGGAGGTTTCTATATCAAAGCGCACTCATCTTCACGCACCCAAACACAACGGGCTCACGGGTGAGAGCTCACGGGTACCACCGGCGCTAGTATTCTAAACCATTACAGCCAGCCAAAAGCCCTTGGGGGCAAAAAACGGCACTCGGTTTTGCTAGTTGACGTTTAGGGGAACTCTCTTAAACGGAGAACAAAAGGGCACCACTCGAGGGTTGGGGTACTGTTAATTGCCCTCCTTACGCTAGCAATATGGCCAACACTTAACAGGCCACAGAAGGAAACATATCCTGCGGCCAGAGGCCTGCAGCAAATTAACATGCAAACCCCCACAAGCAAAATTCTAGAGGAAGCTTCTTTGGGAGGATCCCGGTTGTGAGTTTCATGTTAACTTGCAGGGGAGCATATCTGTGCGTCAAGTCCCTGAACAAGTCCAGCCACGACCAGAAAGCCAATATAGATGCCCAAATGAGAACGAATGAAAACAAGCAAAGCTCCTTTACTTGCACCAAGCTGTCCATTCATGATAGCTACACCCTCGCAAGGACTGCAATCAGTAGTAATATTGACCAAGCACTGATTGACGAGCACACCGACACACACACACACACACATTTCACCTTCATTGATGAGGTGTGAGATACATAGTACGGAGACAAGCAACACATATAACAAGACTCATTCAATACATGAATCCAAACTCCTCATGCAACCACATACAGTTTGGCTGGTGTTACAAGGCTTCAGCTGAATTCCCCACATGCTTCATCTGGATAAAATTGTATAGCATCACTGAATCACAGTGCTTCGTACATCGTTGGCCAGTTGCCGATGTAATCCTATTGAACTGGAAGTTTGATCGATTGGTCCCATTTTAAGGCTTGACTTTCGCGGCAGAAGCCACTGCCCCCCTCCCCGAAAAGGTGTTATATAGGACATTCTTGCGTTGTGATGCTAAAAACGAGAGACTATGAAGCGGCGTATAATTTCCAAATGTGTCTCTCCATCCACCTCTCCCTCCCTCTCTCCCTCCCTCTCTCCGAGTCGCCTCTGGAGTCCTGAGGGACTGCGATTTTTGTGGCGCACGGAACCCGGAAAGGAACCATTTACAGCACAAGGGGTACACGGCTGTGGATTTTATCTTAACCGCCTAACTTCGAAAGAACGAACGTGGGCAAACTCTTACAAGTTGGTCTTATTGCTCAGAGGTGCCCAAATAAACACACTCCACACTGGGGGTAAGGGCGCGATCTGCAGTGCTGCGGGTGCTTTCTTGGGGAATGCATTCTGCCGCAGCTGTGCGGAGTTGTTTGCTTTTCTGTCGAGCAGCTGAAGAGCGCAACTTTCGTTGGTGCATATGATTTGGCTTTTTCAAAGTAGGAATCGGACCCTCCCAAATGGGTGGCTTCCTTTCCTTTAAAACCATCCCAAAAGCGCACCGTCAAGAACAGGAACCACGGCCACAATGCCTTGCAGTTTCGCCATTGAAACTGGGAACCGCCCAGCATCAAAGTCCAAGTCTGCAACAAACATACTGATTGAAAGCAGTCCACTCAAAAAACACTCGGCAACTAACCATGCCGGAACTGCATTCAACACACGAAATGACAAAGTGACTTTCGCGAGGCAATTCTGCCTTTACCAGGCTTCAATACCCTCGGCCCTTTGAGCAGGTTTCCCAATTCCGCCAGGAATCGATACATGACATGGCGCGAACCGTCATTGGAAGAGTTTTCCTTCGGAACGCGGCCCTGTGCACTGTCATGTTAGTTGGGGGGAGGGTAGTTTATATCGTTTCCCGCTAAACCTGGCCCCAGGCCCAGATCTGACGTTTCACCTCTTGCACCATTTGCAAACCTCCTTGTCATTTTCACTCGAACACCCTTGCACATGGGTGTGTCTTTTTTATGGTACCCCTTTCTTGGTGGTAGGGAAACCAAAAGGCGAAACAATTATTGTTCTTGTTGGGGGGGGTGTCCCCAAACGACAAGGACACATCCAAATGTTTGGGGGACAGTCACCCCAGGCCACGAGGGCGAAATGAGCGGAAAAAACCGAAGCAAAGATGTGCGAGCATTCTTAAAGGAGACCATGTCATGTTGTTTTTCCCGTTTCAAATGGCTGGTCAAAAATGGTACACAAAATTTGATTTCCTGGTAAATGGACACAAGAACTAAACGCTGCGGTCCATATCCTGGAGTAGTTCTGACCCATACCCAAATATGACTGTGGGTCAAAACCAATTGGATCCCATTTTGGGGTAGGTGAATTCACCACCCACTTTTAGAACCTATTTTAGTGGGGATTGGGATGTTCAGGTACGATTTGGATTTTGACCCATGGCCATATGGTCCGGATTCCTTCCCCGGTACTGCTTGTTTGTTTCTATGAATTGGCACCCATTCCGTCCTCAGCTCCACCCGCCAGCCAATCTCGCCGCGAGGGTTGGAGGCGCGCGCCTGACGGGGTCGCAGTGGAATGCTTGTTTTGGGGGGATGGAGTTCTATCTGCGAAGCCAGCGGGAAATTCTGAAAATCCTTGCTTTTGCTGGGTATTTGGCAAATTTCCGGTGAACTTTCTGCAGCTTCTATTATTCTATGGAATGGGTGTGGACTTGGGTGTTCTTTTGTGGGAGAAAATTGATGGAGTTACTTGGTGAATGAAACAACCTAATCATCCAGGTATCGCCATCTATTTTCTACCAAAACAATCAAAAAGGACACATCTGTGGTTGTGGAGTGGGCATCCTATGGGTTCCATGGAGTGGTTGGAAGGGTTGCTAACAAATAGGTGTGTCATTTTGTAGGCCATATGATTTTGTGGTCGTACGGAATGGATGGCTAGGTTGGAAAGCTCATACCTCGCATGGCGCGACACGACCGCATGGTCAACATACCCTCTGATTTGTTGTCCAAAATGGGGATCCACAATTTGTAGTGGGATATCGAACAAATGAAGCCACTACCATTGGCATGATGATTATAGGACTGACTTGAACAACTCGAACGATAGAAACACTTGCAATGCTCTAGACCCTCTCATTAAAGGTTTGAGTCAACCTTCATTGTTGTCCCCAAGTAGACGGATGGGCCTTGGAATATCTCAGGCACAATGCTACATGTTCTGGGTGGGTTTAGCATGGTGTAGAACGGCTTAAGGATGGTTAAGGTTGTGATGCAGTCCTCGTTGAAACAAGTGTGGGGAGGGTTTGTTGTTGGCTTAGGCCCGGCTTCTGGCGGGGTAGCTCTGGTTCAGGGTAGGTCTTGGGTTGGTTTACGGTTGATATGGGGTAAGTTTGAGGTAGGTTCAGCAGGTGCTTGGGTTGGCTTATGGATCAACCTTTTTGACAACAGCTGCGGTCAGCCTCGCATAGGCCTAGGAACATACAGGAATCACATGTAAAAAGTAATTGCAACACACCGGAAAAGCACAGTAGGACAACTGGCAATCGGCGCATGCGGACCTGGAGGCAAATGGGAAGCTATAAGCCTGCGGAGAGGGGATGGGAGCTCAGTCAATATGGTGCCAAACAGTCCGGATCAAATGGAAATGGCCTCCGCGTTAAATCAGAAACTCTACGGGAGAGCTAACCCTGCAAATTCAGTGAAAGGCTCATTTGAAGACACCTAACTAGGAAAAAATGATAAATTAGTGTTTGTCCAACAAGTCCACGCCATTCCCTGTGCTTGGTCAAGCCACAGTTCGACAACAGCCATGCCGAATCATCGTATCTAAGCCAACGTGGTAACTATCAACATTGCATACAATAAGTGCTTTTATGTTTTTAATGAGGGACCCTTTGGTGGACATCATCTAGTTGGGGATTCTTCACCAGCCGCTTTTCAGATATTGAAATTCATACAATGAGTCTGTCGTTTTGGAGCCTCACCCCCTTTTGGTTGGGTTTTCAAGTTGGAAGCCAAAAGGAACACTGAATCCATTTTGTCGCGGTCCCCCTTTTGGTTGGATTTTCAAATTGGAAACCAAAAGGAACACTGAAATCCATTTTGGGGGGGTCCCCCTTTTGGTTGGGTTAACAAAACAAAAAGGAAAAACCCGCCATTTTGGGGGGGTCCAAAACCAAAAGAGTTGCCTATGCCCGAAACACCCGGCTGGCAACCTGAGCGCCCCTGCGGGCGGTGGCTTGAAACGGACAGTGCCCCAGTTCCTCGATCGATTGGCTCGATAAGTTGCAAGCCCTCATAGAACAAGGGAGCTGTAGTTGGGTGTCTTTTTGTTAGCCCCCCCCCCCAAATTGTATTATACCACTTTGAGTAAGATCCCTGTCCTTGCACTGGAGTTGCATTTCTTTTAGACCAAGACTTACATCTTGGCTTCTTGGGTGACAAAGTGAGGGATTGAGAGGGTGGAGTCCATCAGAGAGCGTAGAACCAGCTGAAGAAGATTGAAGAAGACTGCCAGGCGGACATGCGCTCAAGTGTCGAAGTTTGTCAGCTTGCCCCTGGGAGGGTTTCAAATTGCCCAGTGAACTTGAGCAATTCTCTCCCAACCATGGATTCCGCCGGAGCTCTGGTCCCTCATAGAGGAAAATAGTCCAAGTCAGGCTCCCTTGCAAAGTGGGGCAACCGAAAAGGGTTCTTTATGGAGGGAATCTTGGGTTGCAACCGCCCGGCGAGGTCGCAACTTCATTCGCCCATATATGTGTATTTCCTCACGCGCTTTGCTCGAGCAGTCACAGATAGAGCAACGAGCAACTGACAGTTCTGAATGGGCCAGCACTCTGATTAGTAATTCAGGCACGAGCGTGAACTCAATACAGGGTTGATCGCAAATGTTGGTTCATGGGGAGGACAAATGCCTTTTTGCTCAAAATCAAAGTGCCGCTCGGCAGACGAGAGAATGGAGGCTGCGTCAGCGACACTTCAAGCAAGTTGGAAACCTTGGCTCCAGTTGGCAAACGCTATTTGAGGTTTGGAGTACAGGAGTACACAGAGAATCCTCACTCACCGAGAGGGCATCTTGCGAGTGTCGTTGGACTGGGGGAAGGTAAAACAACTAAAACACTTAGATACCATCTATTCCAAAAAGACAACATTGGTAACAGCTATTCGATAACAAGAAACGCTTGCATCTGTTTCTGAAGGCAGCACAATGCGGGTTCAACTCGAAGACCCCAAATATGACATGACTCTTGGGCATAGGATGCTGGATTTCTCGAAGCAGCACACCTACTCGACTGTAAAATAAATACGATCCTGGTAAAGATACTCACTGTTGTCATCGCAACTCTGCAATGCCTTTTTCATGAATCAAGAACAACACGTAGTGTGATATAATCAATGATACGTCATGCAGTTTTCCAAGGATCAATCAGCAAGCTAGTTGTGTTTGATCCTATGACTTGCTTTGATAACAACATGTTAGAGCACATATCATGCTAGATTTCCGCCCGGAAAGGGGGCCAAGCCCTTGGATGAGGACCAAAGAGGATAGAAGATGCGGACCAGCAGTTTATTTGTTGTGTTGTTCTTTCTTTGGGGGACTGAGTCATGGACAACTTCGCCACATTATGGAGTGTGAAAAGGCCATCATCACAAAATGTAGCACACTCTCTACTGCAAGCTGCCCCAATCTCGTCAACACCAACAGCTAAACAATTATACATGAGCCCTCACGCATGCGGCACGCCTTGGATTCATCCCAAGACATGATGTCTTGAAGTTTCCAACATTTCCGTTTCCAACATTTCCTACATGTCCAACATTTGAGGCTTCGAGGTGTCCAGTGTTTTGAGGTGTTCAAAACCATTTCCTACCAGGGAAGGATAACTTAAGTTGCATTTGGCGTTGGACAGCTGCATCAGCATTACTAGGTCCTCCAGTAGAGAGGTTACAATAAGGGTACCCTTTTTGTCTGTAGTCTGTTTTTGTAGGGGAACCCTCCCCCAAAAAAAGAAACGGTAAACGGGCACTGGGGGACATAGATTATATACTTGCTGTGGACTTCCAGACGTGCGCCGATCGCCGATCGGATCGGATCGAGGCTCGACGACTGGAGCTGCTCCCAGTGGTCACCCACTGTAGCCTCAGCTCCGTGAGCTAAGGCGCTTCAGGGGTTGTCGTTTTCTCAGGGACCCTCTTTTTGGTTGGTTGTGAAGAGAAACCAACAGGAAAACCGAAGCCATTTTGTGAGTCCCCTAAAAAAAGACGCTCCCTCATGGTTCCCTTGTTTGCAACCTAGCTTTCATGCAGACTCCTGAAGCCAACTCTCTCTCTCTGTCTCTCTCTCTCTTCTGAAGGAGCCAAAAGATTGCAACCCATCTTCGCCAAGGGTTCTTCAGATATGTGGAGTCCCATGGACACAGCACATGTGGACAAAGGGCCCAGCCGGATCGAGACAACTTTGACTTGCGAGTCCGAGGGAGCCGTGGCTTCCACTTTCGATGCAAAGCTTCATAAGGCCCTTCTTTGCTTTGGATACTTGCAGAAAAGCCCCACAAAGGCCCACGTGAGCTGGCAGTGCTTCTCTCCTGGTGGTTGAGACGCACAGCCACTCGCATGATCTTGCAGCAACGGACACGAAACAGATGCCAACTCTGTTGACTGATGCCCATGCAACGCCAGATCACCGCCTCCTATCTCAACGAGTGACCTTTGCCCACGTCTTAGCAGACTGTCCTCAGTTCAGCGATTGAGTCATAATGATGGCTTACTGAGTTTCGGAGAAAGGAAGGGCAATAGTTTGCATCGCTGCATCATGTTTGTACAAACCGTAGCCACTTCACTTCGGCGAGTGATTACACCATGCAGCAGAAAGTTGGGATTAATCATACGAACGGCCTCACGTCAGGAGAAACCCACACTCAGAACTTCATACGGCCATTTGCCAGGATTTACAATGCCCAGCTGACATGTGCCCTCACACCTGCTCCCATCGCGATCTCCCATTCAATGTCAAAAACAACACTTCGACCATCCAAGCTGTTGAGGTAGCTACTAGCTACTGGGATCGTTGCACTCCATTCCTAATATAAGATGAGTGTGTGTTTTGACGGAACGCCTTTTTGGTTTCCCTCTTGTTCACCCAAGCAAATGGGGTCCCCCAAAAGGGGTCCCCCCATGGAAATCCTCAGCGCCAGGCATTGTCCAGCTCCAAGCGCTCCCGGAACACGTTGAGGGGGTCGCGCCTCAGCCAGGCTGCCCAGCCCAGCAACTCACGTACGTCGCAATCAACGCATGCGTCGCATACGTAGAAGTGCAGTCAGTTAAGCTATCGAAATTGACTTTGAATATCTTTGAATGTTCAATGCTGATGTGCGTGGTTGCATTCCAGCCTGCGTTCCATGCTGCTAAGTCAGCCAGCATGCATGGAAACATCAACAGGAAGAATCGTGTTTGAACACAAGCCAGGCTATCTGATCCTACAAAATGAACTTCTCGAACGCAGAAACATGAAGTACTACCGTCTTCGCCCTTCTCTATCGCGGGAAACTCCGCCACCAACTCCTAAACAGCGTCATTGCCTAATGCTTGCCGCCGACGAGAATTCCGAGATCTTCAGGCGGACGTACCACTCCAGGAAATTTGACCAACCCTCAAAGCATCTAGTCTCCAGCAACTTTCGAAATGCTGGAACAACGAAACCTTCTACATGTCTTCAAGGTTCACACGTGGATCGTCAGCAATCCACTGCACAAGCGGTCACACTGAACAGTATCACACCTGCAATCGCCCCATGCACTGCATCAAGACAAAGAACCCCTTCAAACAAGTGTTTGTCTTCACTTGGCAAAGCGACAAATCGAACTGCCAACCTGCCCGATTCGCCCCCTATGCAGCTTCTAGCTGTGTCTGCGACCAGTGCTTAAAGGCCTGCCCAGCGCCGCAGCCCTCTTCCTTCTGTTCCTCCAGATCCCCGGAGACTTTTTCTGGAAATTCTGCCCGCTCGTCCCAGCCCAACCCTCAACCCAAACAAAGGCCTTCCCCAAAAGGAGAGTAGTCTTCTAAAACCCTTGTTCCATGATAGCGAGGGCACGTTTTTTTTGGAGTCGATCCCAATGTTGCGGGTTCCGAATCCACGCACATCGGGATTAGGGTTCAATCCACGAAGCTGTGCGTGCCTCTTGAGAGCACCCGTGTTTGAGATTCTCAACAGAAACCAAACGCATACCGCTCATGCGGGGCTCCCGCCCTTTGAGACCAGCCCGACTTGTGTATAAACAACAGCTTATCTGGGGGTAGCTTGTTCTGACCAGCATACCATAGCTTGTTCTGAGCCTCTGATAGCTTCTGACCAGCATTCAACAGGTGTCCTTTGTTGAGGTTGGTTGGTGGTTTTTGCCGGGGGAAACCACCATAGGTGGCATTTCGGAAAAATAGATGGCAGTGCTACATGGAATTAACCCCATCTAACCAGTGCCATCTATTTTGAACCAAACCAACTTAAAAAGGACACCTATGGAAACCACGCCACCCACGTTACTTTGGCGGGAGCGCACATCTTCTCCGCCGAAAGGCACGAAGAGCTGCGCCACGTGCCGCGCCAGGCGCGCGTCCACGCCAGCCGCCAGCAGCCTGGTGTCGCGCGCGTCCCCGCAAGATGGATGTCTAGGTCCTCCAGATTGGAGAGGGTAGAATAAGGCTACCCTTGTTTTATTTCTTCTATTTTAGTAGGGGAACCCTCCCCCTAAAAAGGGTAAAAGGGCACTACTGGGGGACCAAACATGTGTAGAGTTAGCTTGTATCAGGTTTCTTGAGGGTGACTGAGGTTTCATGGTGGCCTACCCTGCACACAAGGACTTCGCGGAACTCTAGTTGTGGAAACCTCTTGTTCGCAAGTTGTTGCTCGTTTTGTGGGCAGAACACTGGATAACCCCTGCTCATTTGCTCGTCTCAAAAAAGAAGCCAGACAAGTTTGCCGCCCATGGTTGAATCCATCACTTGGAGGGAATTCATCTATTCTTACAATAAGGTAGTCTTGAAAGAGCTTCACTCTCCCCCGACTGTGATAGCATGTTTTGGGGCACACATGTTAGCGACACGAAGGGTTTCGGTCGACTGAATTCACCCGAAGGCTCCCTTCGGGATTCCTGTTGTTGAGCGGGGACTACGGACCGAATTGACCCAGCGCATTTGGACTTAGGCCAATGCTGCAGGATGGCAAGAATTCAGAGCCCTGGTTGAGCCGGGTACGGTGACTCTGTGAGCTTGCAAAGGTAAACAGCTCCACATGAAAAACACATAACCCCAAAGGTTTACGTCATCACTCGTGGAAAGGTTGAAACTCATATGTCATTCGGACAGCAAATATGAGAAGTGCTGCTGAAGTGCTCGTCAAGCGGAACAAGAAGTCAGAGTACGTATTGCAGGAGTACCAGGCTTGATTCAATCTTCATCCAACTCAAGCAGGCCTGACTGTTCTTGGTGGGTGGCTGATGGAAATCCTGGAGAAATAGCTTCAACCCTGGTCGGTGTGGGAAGAACATGTCGCATTGAGTGTCCTCTATGCATGCTCCTCAGTCCGAACATCGGCCAAGCTGTGATCAAAGACCGATCCATTGCCTGCCTACAATTTGAACATGTGGACCAAGCACCGGTGTTCGAACGGAATGCAATAGTCACTTTCTCCATCAACTGAAACTACAGTCACTCTCTCAAAAAATAGAAACTCAAGAGGTAGATGTTGAAACATGACTCAACCACCTCAGCTTTTGGCACCAACCCCAAAAAACATGTTGAGATGCTAGCCCATGTTCACTCAACCTTCAGAATCATGGAATAACAAAGATCGACCAGAACTGGGAAAGCAAAGGGAACCAACGCTCGGCTTTGAACAAGCCAGAATCAGCTGCAGGCTGACCAGATCCCGAGTCGTAGCAACGCTAGCGACGGCCTCTGTAGGCTCGGTTCATGCACTGCAACGTCCACGTCATTGTAATCCTGAGCTCAGGCGATGGAGGCTCTTCGGGCGTATCGTGAGGCCCCAAATAAGTTGAACGAGGTTGTGGGGTACGTTAAAATCCCTTGAGCCATGACCAAAACTCCTTATATAGATCATCGTGATGGTTCCCTCAATAGGAAACATGATCATGATCCTTACTACCGGGTGGATGACCATCCCTGTCGATCCCAAGTATGGTAAACGATTGCTGCCTGTTTAGCCCCTTATACGTTTTGACAAAGATTTGCCAGTCTGTGGATAGAGCGATGAACAAGCTTGCATGCCAACTGGGGCTGTAACTTGGCCACTCACCAACTAAGGGGAACTTGAAACCGCACGGTGTCCCTCTATTCAAAAGACAAAAAACAAGACCCCAGGACAAACTCAGTGCAACGTGGCCCAAACGTAATGTTCAAACCCCCAAACGGGCCACCTATACGGACCGCAAGATGTTTTTCGCCAAGCGGCTTTCGTCAAGAGCGGCCCGCTGTCGGCGAGGAACACCTAGGGGAACCATCGTAGGTCAGCTGAGTTTGGCGCTTTCAATTGGTGAACAGGGGGCTGAGACAAGCAAACTCCAAACCACCAATCTATGATAAGTGCATGTCCGAATCAATACTTCTTCCGGCGAGACCCATTCCATGAGCTGCAGCAAAACATCGACGCCACGATAGCACCAATCCAAAAACCATATACTACGACTATTGCGTCCAGCAGATGCCAGAAGAACCGCTTGCCTTGACAAACTCAAGCAACTTTGCCATCATTTGTGCTCTTTCCCCGATTGCACGTCACGAAATAAATCATTTTGACATGTGTCTAAGCTGCCTTGTATGCAACAAATAAGTCTGATTTTCAATTGTAGACCGTTGGGTGGACATCATTTCGGTGGGGATTCATGTCTGCCTATCCCCAAAAAAATAAATGTGTATATATATATATAGACCCTGTTTTTGTAGTGGCTATACAGTGGTTATGTATCCCACTACGCCTTTGGGGGTGTGCTTTAGGGGCAAGAGAAACCATCGCAAAGCTTACTAAGCCCCAGCGGTACAATTCGTCAATGCGTTCGTAGTCTGTGCTCTATGCTTTGATCGATTCGAGCTTTGGGACATACCTATGGTGAGGCGCGCTTGTCGCTGACGCGTGTGCGGCAATTGCCCAGGCGCACATAGCAAACGTGTTATCAGCAAGGGAGGCAATGTGAGGCAGCGAACAATCACAAGTGTTCTTATTGTGCACCTGCAATGGGCACAAATCCGTTCCGAAGCTTCAAGCCAGAAGGACTATTTGGCCCTCACCGAGTCAATGAGTGAGAGCCCTCCCTGCACTTGTTAGTCTAAGTTTCCTTTTTTTGGATTGCCCATAAGAACGGCTTTCGCTTGCTTGCGCTAGTATTCGCTGTTAATAGACAAGCAGTCGCATAAATGCCTACGTATACTACTGGATCCAGAAGGATGTGACGCAAGGAATAACCAAATACGCGCCAATGGACGACATTGCATAGACGACCTGGCGCCATGTGCCATTAAGGTCATGTGTGGCATGCGTCTTAGCAAGCCTCCGTTCACCGACTGAGTAATGCTTGAGAACATCTGTGAGTGGTTGTTTTTGAGGGTCCCCCTTTTTGGTGGTTGCAAAGCAAAAGGACAACCCACCATTTTGGAGGGTTCGAATCCGAAACAAAGACACACCAATCTGTAAGTGTAGTTAGTGGGCTTCTTATGAAAGTGCTTGCAAAACATGTATTTTGGGACCCTCTCACCTTGAAAGCACTGCAAACACGCCACGCCTTGACAGCTACCTTGGCAAAGCGCCCCAGATCCAACGCGCAACCACTCAGTTGCAAAGGACACCACCATGAAAAAAAAGCCCACCAACGCCAACCAGAAACTTCCATGCAAAATGGGAAGGTTCCCCTTTTGGCTCGGATTTCTTCTAAGGAAAAAGGGGACCGATTCCTACTTTGAGCCACCCTTTGCCCGCGCAAAGAAGGCGAGCCCTTGCCTGCGGGGATGTGGCCGCTCTCGAGTTCCGCGGCGCCTGCTGCCGCGTTTCCTCCACGGTCCTGAAAAACCGAGTCACCAGCGACCCTTGGGTTGTCTAAAAGGAAATATACCCCAAAATGGGTCGTTTTCCCTTTGGTTTCCCTTTAAAACCGTCCAAAAGGGGGTACCCGCAAAATCAGCACCCTTTCAGTTCTCACAGCTTGTCGCCGCCTTGAACCTGTCGCTGGCCTTCTAACACGAGCCCGACTGCTTGGAATGATTGAAGTCGAGCTTTGGGAGAACACAAGCTCTTAGAGTGGCGCTCACCGAGGGAGCTCTATCCCCGATGAGTTGGTGGCTTGTTATTCCTTACGTGGCCTTCCCTCAGAAACTTCCGTCTCGTAAAATTGGCACACCTTGCTGCCGAAAACCGTGCGTCCCAAGAAGATGGTTTGTGGTAGGCGTGTTTTTTCTTTGGCATGTAGCGGAAGGCAAGTGCTGCTGCAATTTCATCCAGTGCTTTTACAGCAGGCAAGTCTGTGCTGTCTAATGTTCTCAGCCGGAAGGAATACTACTAGATTGTATTGGGGTTCTCTTTGCCAGCACCGCAAAATCGGGATTGGTGGGCGATTGTGGGGAACTTCTTTATTTACTTCTCCAAAAAGAAGGGTTCATATCCAGCCTTTTTATTCGAAGCAGATTGGTTGATCCGTAACTGTTCTTGTACCCACTTGGGCTTGGCCTTGAAGAACACAAAACACATTCTGGGACTCTGAATCGGTCGCGAGATGCCGAAAATGTGGGTTTGTGTTTCTTGAGGGTTCCCCTTTTGGGGGTGGCGTTAAAGGGAAACCAAAAGGACACTGCCCATTTTGGAAGGCTGGAATGGGTTGCTGCATAGCAAGTCTCTTGCTGAGACTGGCAACAAGGCGCAAGGTGCGTAGCACGATAAGTAGCGGACAGGTTGAGTTCTCCTACCTACATCTTCATTTGAACAAGATAATGACAACAAGCAACGAAACCCGGACAACTGCGACAAGGATTCTTAGCTGGTTGGGTGAAGCTTTGCCGGGCGCAGCTGTGACATCGTGAACTTGCCTAAATGAGAACAGGTTCCAGCTCGCTCTTGCACTGGCGGAGAGCTTAGCTTGTCGAGCTGAAGCCAACTCCGAGCAAACCCACATTGAGTTTCAAACAAATTCCTGAGATGCTTCCAGGCCGAACAGGGAGCAACACATGGGTAGCCACATCTTCAGTTGACCACGCGTGGGTGGGCGCAGATTTTGCCTGAATGCGCACTGTCGAATCATCGCACAAGGTTTCTGACCTTGTCAGTTTTGAGCACCTGCTTGGTTGTACGGAAACTTCTATCTACCGACGGAAACCATGGTATATGTGTAAGAAGGCTACCCGTTCATGGATGACCAATTCATTCTTATGCATCAAGGGGATGGGGAATGTGCGTTTACAGAACACTACGCGCAGGTTGCAGGGTACAGAAATTGGTTCGAACTTTATGTAAGTGACAGCACTCGCTTGTCGCTCAGCCAACTTAGGCGCAAGCAAAGTCTCGGAGCAAACAGCAAATTCATACAAATCCAAGCAACCATTGCGGGAAAGCTATATTGGAGGTTGGAGCCAGTCAGTTGAAAAATCGAGGGCCACACATTCCAACAGTACTTGCGTTGATGCCAAGCCCAAACCAAGAACAAGAAAAACCTGGTATTAAATTGGCCACCTAGAACCATGTAAAGAATTCACAGGCGGTCGCACCCATTTCTGGATGGGACTATCCCTTGAACTTCAACTTCATCTAGCCAAGCTTCGATTGTGGTTCAACTCAAGAACAGGAACAGCTATGCTCCAAAGTTGCTGTGGCTCGCAAAGTGCGGCGCCGGGAGGCACGAGCCACGTTTTTCCAAACGCAAAGTGCTCATGTTCTTCGGGCCAACCACCCTCTGAGCTGAATTTTGTGCAAATGCGAAGTGAGTAGATTTAATAACAATGCCCACACACACACGCACCACCAAAGCGTGCCATGCAGAACAGATACGACATCTGGACCTCTCAAATACAAAGTCAACACATCTTAGGAAGTGAAACCTGGCTTGCTTGCGAAGCCGAGAAACCTTTGAGGATGCTGTCTGCACACGGCGTCGGCCTGTCCCACCCCTTCTGCGCGGTCCTGTCATCCCAGGTTTCTCTGAACGCTTCAATGCGCGTGTCTGTGGCAGCCTCAGTGAGCGCCCCGAGGCTTAAAGGACAAGCGTGGCAACCGGAATCGCTTCAAGCCCCGGATTGCTCCAAGCCCCCCAAGCAAAAGATCGTACCCTTTGTAGACTGTGGACATGAAGCGATGGGCAGAGTCTGCAAACAACAGCAAAACAAGAGATAGACACACCGGACAAAAACATATCGCCCCTCACAAGAAGCGACAAACAACACAACCGGTCAAAGCAAGCAACAACCCATGCTGTTTAGAAAAGACCGGTAACAAAAAACAGAAAACATGGCAGCACGCTTTTGGGGCCAGAGACAACACCTTGAGTCAGCCATGCTGACTTGCGGGCACGGAAACTGCACATGCCTCAACGCAATGTCGACCCCTGATTAATAAGCCCAGCTATGCAGGGGCAACCCCGAGGAAGAAAGGAACTTCAGAAGGGACACTGGACAAATCTCTGGGGGGCGTATTCAGGGGTCGACCTTCGGTCGAACTGGTAGTACGAGCGGCCGAGTACGGTCAGGTGTCGTCTAAGAGCGGGGCGATCATGCCCCGCCAGAAGGGTGAGGATGCAGTCCTCTGGCATTGCAGTCACTCGGTTGCTATCTGCTCCCCTGCTAAAAGCTTCACTTGTAGTGGTTTAATGGAAAACCCATTAGTTGGCAAGAAGTTAAAGTCCTAACATCCAAGCAAAATGCAACAAAGATCAGCTGCTTTTTGAAGAAATGGGTATGGGTCAAAATTAAACCACAAGGATATGAACCGCAGGTAGTCCGTGCTCTTCGTTTACTGGAGCTCCATTTCAGGGTTACCTGAATTTTGACCCACCGCCAAATGTCAAGTTGGATTGTTAGTGATTGACCTGCCACTGAAGTCATTTTACTGAAGTGTTCGACATTGCTAGATTTCATGCGGGAGGGTGGAATTCACACACTGGAGAGAAGTCACCAAATGTCCTTCATGGGTGAGCTCGTTTTACCCCTGATCAGTGAGAAAGGCGAATTAAAGACGTGCACATGTACATGGAACAAGTGAAAAAGAGTTCGACAACCCATCCTATACCATATTATGTGGGGAATATACAGGTGAGTCACAATCAAAACCCGGTACTTAAATGGTCTACCCAGAACCAAGTAAGGAATTAAGAAGGAAGCTAGGTTGGGATTGTCCCTTACCAACCTTCATCTACCCGGGTTTTGATTGTGGCTCAGGTGGATTGGCCAAGAGACAAACGTCACACATGTGGCACGGCATGGCAATGCAAACAAAAGGCGAAAGCTCGTGACAGAACCAAATGACCCTGCGTTGATTGAACATGTATCTTGGTAACCCGCATTCATGCTGTGTCACATGTTTTTTTCTCTGTTTGCCAAAGGCGAAATTGGAGGCACCCACAAACTCGTGTTCGCCTGCAAGGATCTGAGCCGTGGTGCCTGCCCTCCTGGCTCCGATAGAGACCGAATCGTGAGCCTCTGGGACCCCAAGGGAAGCTTTGGATCCGTTGGGTTCCTTTGGACGCCATCTGCTCAGTCCCAACACTCCCAACCCTCCAAAGTCCGGCTGGGAGAAGAAATTCTGGATTTCCCTGGAGGGTTATGAAACAACCAGGTCAACCAGGAATCGCCGTCTATTTTTCCTGACACCTATGCTCCCAACTTGCTGGACTCTTCCCCAAAGCCACGCTTTCACATGCGGCCTCCCACCGAAGCGTCCCAAAATCTTTAGCCAGGGCGCAGGGGAAGGAAGAGTGGAGCAAGTACCTGCGCCCGCGACAGGGCCTGTGTGAGGTATCTGGTGGGAGGGGGCATGGGTCAAAATTCCGCACCCCCAGTGAACATCCCAATCCCACGAAAATAGACTAAAATGGGTGGTGCACCTATCCCAAAATGGTACCATTGGTTTTGACCCACAGCCATCTGCTTGGAACATCTTCCTCTCCACCTCTGGCCTGGAAGATGCATCTGAAGGAACAAAGCCAAACAAAAATCAATTGCCTGCCACATAGCAACCAACAAAAACAACACATCGCTACAAACTTGACAGTATTCTTCTTGTCCTAGATGTGATGTGATTGGGATCAGCAAGCAATGCCAAGGTTGCGGAGAGAACATCGGGATAGAACTTAGACGATCGGGATAAAACTTGCCGTTGGCACATGATATGTGCTGTTCAAAACAGGGAATCCCCAATCCTGATCCGCATACAAGGGACACCATCATCTGAGTTGAGGGTTCGTTTGTTGCTTTTGAACAACCCACATGGGTGTGCCTTTCTTTGGGGAGTCGCCAAAATGGATTTCGGCTTTCCTCTAGTCTCCTCTAAAAACCGGAAACAATGGTACCCTCAAAAAACACCCCCTGTATTGTTTTTGAACCACCCAAACAACCCTTGTGAATTTTCCAACGGCCACGAGCCTCCAACAGCGACGGCGCACCAAGAGCTGGTCGTAGAGGTAGCGCGCATCGCTGAGAGAAGGGCACAAACATGTTGCCTGGCGAGGCGGGTGATGTTTTTTGATCGCAGCCTGTTTTGGAGAACCGCAAATTTTAAGGCCCACCTATCTTGAAATACACTGCCGCGCATGCACAGCATCATGCACATAATATGTATATATGTATAGACGTATAATTTATCTGTATACAACAAACAAAGAACCTCTGCTTGGAAGCAGGTCTGATACCGTTGCAAAAGGCCGCAGCTCTTGCAATATGGCGAGTTTCGCAAGGCGATCCGCTGAGGTACGGAGCACCAAACCAGTTGCATCAGATACAAGGCCTTGAAGTCTAATGAGAGACTCTTTGATGGACACCAATTCGTTTTGGATCCAAATTAAACCATACGTCTTGGCTTCTGACAAGCCCTGAAGGGGCTGTTCATCCAAAAAGTTCTTGTCACCTGCTTTGCGACAATAGGCTTGGCATAGAAAAGTCGCGGACACGTGCTGCGCCTGCCAGCGCATCGTACTCCGGGGTCAGGACTCAGAAGACTCGAACTTCATGGTCTTTCTGTGGACAACCCAACGGGTTTTCCGATGGAAGAATCTATCCACCACTCACTTGCGTGGTGCTCGTCTCGACCCGAGCCAACCCCCCCGTCTACCCAACATGTTGGTCTGTGGCGTCGCATGTTTTCCTTTTGCATGGTCAATCACGAGGGCCAATTGGTATTTGCAAAGTGTCCTTGCCTCCTGAAGGCTTTGCAAGGCGTGTTGGTTTGTTCTCACCAAGCAAACAAAGCATGTTGGTAGCACTACTGAGATACTATCCTTGAATCCCTCGGATCATCTTTATTTCACTCTCACACACACACACACCCCTTAGAATCTCGCAGCTGACATTCCAAGAGCGTCCCGTTGTTAACACAAATTGCCCTTGTGTCCAAGCGCAGCCCCTCTATAAGAGAGTACCGAAAGCACCTTTGAAATGGGAACCCCAAAGCACCTCTGAAATGGGAACCCCGACTGAACAACCCCCCCACACGGGCACCCCCACTGACAGGGGTGCCTCAAAAAACGACACGCAAATCTGAGCTGGGTACGTATTTGCTTGAATAGCCTCAGTGGACTTAAACTGGCCCCATTATAATATAACCACCATTACTTACCGAAGTTGGGCCTTGCCATTCTTTTAATGGGGGCAAGGAACCTTGGGGCACTGTTTTTCAGGAACAACCATCCCTGGGTTTAAGCCTAGCTTGGGGTCTTAAGGCGAAGCCCGCCCAACTCTGCAAACCCGAATCGAGTGAATCGAGCCGCTCCTGGGTACAACAGCTGCCAGCACCTTCACAAGATCGAGGGATCCGTAAGACCGAACAAAAGTCCCTGGCAATGCTTTAAGGAAAAGGATTCCCCAATTTGGAGATTTCCCATTTCTAAGACAAACCCATTTAGTTACAAATCTAGCTGGTTAGAACACCGACTCAACACTGGCTGGTGGTTGCATATAATCCAACCATGCATGCAAGTCACTGTGAATCACGTCCACCAAAGGGTCCGCGATTCACTTCACATGAGTTCGGATTCAAAAAACAAAATGTGGATGAACGCCTTCCCAACAAAATCTGAATGGCACCTTCTCAACCAAACAGGTCTCACGGTGAGTGTCTCTTTTGGATTTCAACCCAGGCCCGGACGGCTGCATGCTTTACCGGCCTGTGCCTACGAGGCAGTTGGTTGCGAATTTTAAAGGGGGACCCTTTGGTGGACATTCACTTGGTTGCTGTTGACCCTTCTGCAAAAAGTTTACCTTTTTGTGGGTTCAGTGGAGAATCCATTAATTACTTCCCGAAAAGTTGAAGTCCAAAGATCCAACCACATAGCCATAAAGTTCATTCGGTAAAGATTCATGTCCACCAACAACTAACACTTGTGCCCACGTCCCTACGTGAGGCGGGCCAGCGACCACACATGTTTGTAGCCTACGTGCAGGTTCTCAGCTGGGCCAAAACCACCTACTTTCGATCACAGATTGCCATTCAAAGGCCTGAGTCAAGTTCTATCAGGAGTGATTCCTAGCAAAGCAAGCTGCAAACTAAGCAAGGACAATGCACCACAAGTGCACATGTTGATGCCCGCTGGAGGCTGGAAATGACCGTTGTAACTGGTAGCTTGATCCAGAGAAAGCAGCGTTTCACAATCATCTTGTTCTGGGATCCTTGCTATTGATGTGTGTGTGTGGTGAGGCCAGCAGTATCGCATATAAGTTGACCATAGGATGTAGCATCTCGCCATCCGACTGATATGATAGGGGCTCGGAATTACATGAGCTTCTCCGCCCGCTTGATGCTTGAGCCAGGCCCTGTGACGGAGCTGAACCGCTGGTGCGGTACCATATTCCCCCTTTAAACACCCAAACTCATCTGAGAGGGCCTACGCGAGTGAAGCACCCCACGAAACTCATCTGATAGGGCCTACAAAGTGAGCGAAGTTTCCCAAGGGTGCTGACCATAGGTGTCCCGTTAAGGGAAATAGATGGGTACATGATTAAACCACCAGGTAAACCAGGAACCGCCATCGATTTTTTTGTACCAAACCAACCAAAAAGGACACCTATGGTGCTGACGGCGATGTGTGCAACGGGAAAACGTACGGAACCTCGGACTTCAAGTCCAGCAACCTCAACGCATCCCAGGCGCCAAAGGCGGCAGCGTCCAAATAGATGCGCCCTGCAACCGGGTCGTCGGTGTCCTGCGCGAAAAAGAGCAAACCACAAGGAAAATCGGCATGGCAGATGTGCAATTCCCAGCAGAAACGAAGTGGAAAAGCCCAAGACAACCGACGTCTGTGAGGTACAAGAAACGCCATAAACGTACGCAATCTCTGCGGTATATGCCAAGAGTGATCAAACAGAGTCGCAATTCCAAACAGCTAGAGCCGAACTTGGTCAACACTCGCCTGGTCACTCATAAACACCGAGTCTCTGGAACATGATGGGGTGTCCTGGGTGAATTCTAATAATTTGTTTATGAGAAATGAACCCCGGAGCAACGGAACCTTCATGGGTCGGAAACCGAAGCCTGAGCTAGCAGCTAGCGTTACCTGTGCTTAGTCCTTCACTACCGTTTGCGCGGCTTCCCAGAAACCAGTGATTCGCAAACTGGGTGCCCAATCTTGAGAAATCTCCATCGGATGTTGCTCAGCTTGGCAGGCTGTTCAACCGGTCGAGATGCGAATTTCGCAAGTTGACAAAACATGCTTCCTGTACTTTTTGGTTGCTGAACAAACACTTGGCATCGTGTACGCCAGCAAGATTCCTCAAGTCCGAGGGTAAGGATGGATGCCCCTTCACACCCTTGCAAAACACACCAAGCGAAGTTCGCAAATTCCGCCTCAAGGATCCCAGGACCTTTTGTTCCCTAGATCGACCTGTGAGGTTTACGTTTCGGGAGGCCCCTGCCTTGAGCTCTACAAAAGATGTGGCCGGTCAAAAATCCGGGGACCCGAAAATGGGTGCACTGGCACATGGAAACATGGACTAAAAGCCGTGGTCCACATGCTGGTGGCTTCATTTTGACCCATACCCAAGTCATATCGATGGCACTGAGCCCCTCAACTCGAGCTTGCGAACGCGGCACTCAGGACGTGATCCCACAAAACATGGACAACTCCCCCACGTCCGCCACTCATCTCCACGACCCGAGTGGCCATGTGAAAAGAAGGCCACCTTAAAAAAGATCCCGACCTTGGTGGCCAGTGAAACTTTGTCTGGTTGATTTTCAATGGAACTCCAAACCAACCGAACAAAAGTTGAAACACCCCACGAGTCTGGGCCACTCCCTGCTTTTGCTAGCGCAAAAGTCGTTAGCATCGGCTCTGTACGGTGCCGACTCTGCCAGGGCGGACCCTGTTTGGGACGCACGAGAACTCTTGCAACTGGCCATCTGCTTGATCAAAAAAGCACCAGCTGTGCATTTGGGTGTCTTCGCGGTTTCCTTTTAGCTTTTGGGAGTGGTTTGGAAAAACATCGCAGAAAAACCAACAGATATTTCTACCAACCAGACTTGCAAATTCTGACGTTTTCCCGTGGCACTTCCTGAGCGGCGTCAATCCACTTTAACCACCAGGCAAAATTCTGCGTGGTCTCATTCATGGGCCTCTCCCGTGCAATTGCCTTGGTCAGTGGCCATGTGTCCGCGGAAACCATTCTAGGAGGGAAACCAAGGCAGTCCCACGCCCTAAACATATTCTTGGCTTGTTCCAATGGGTTGAGAAGGGTTCTCAGACTTTTCTACGAGGTGAGGGGGAGTTCCCAGTGGTTCTCCTCCCATTAGGCTCGAGTATTTGACAAGAGTTCAAAGGCCTATCAAACTGGTCACACAAGCAGTTTCAATGTGAGTTGAGAGTGCCAAAGCATCGTGTTGGCCCCTAAGGGCCCTTATCTTGTAAGGCACATCCACCCCTTCCCTACCAGAAAAAGACTCCCAGCTAAAAGTCATAACCTTTTGCCGCAGGGGGAAACACGGCAAGCCAAGAGGGGCAAAAGCTTGAACAGGTGATTGATCCGCCTGGTGACCCCTCAACAACCCCACTCAAATGGTGCTTCGGCCCAGGCATTGAGCTAAGCAGTTGGTCTTGCGAGGAAGCGAGATCGGAATGAGCAAATTCCATTTCGGTCTTGGCCACTGACCTCTGCACATGGCGGACATCCAGAAAGCGGCTTGGATGCGCTGCTCTTCCCTCCTAACGGTCCTGGGGGTGATACTTTAGTACTTCAGTACTTTCTTTTTCATCGAGATACAGCATTCCGCATCTAAGCTATACCTCAGTTGTTCAGTGACCCTGGAAAAAAGGGAACCCTTCTTGGGGAAGACCATTTTTAGCGGGGCAGTCACCAAACAAAAAGGGGAAAAAGGGTGCCACTGAACAACTGAGATACTCTGGACGTCGAAAATATGCCTTCCGGCTTCCGGCACGCTGCGCACCGACTGCTAACTGCCACTGGACTCAGCTGGCAGCTTTCGCCATCTGCGTCAGACGGCTGCTGCAGCGGATGAAGGGAAGCAACTTGTCCCGCACTTGGGTGCTGGTGCCTGCATCACGAGCACTCAAGGATGGAATTCGAATCCATGAATTGCGGCACTCAAAAAGGCACAGCACACTACTGCTACAACTACTACCCACACGTCACTGGCCAGGAAGTGAGTGCTGGGGGACATCAAACAAACTAAACCCCACCTCGCATGTCTATGATTAAAGATGCATACATGGGAGCCATGAAACTGGATGCCGACTCAATCCCTACTTGTTTCCCGCTTCTCGTGCTGACTCTCGTCCTGTGAATACGGCTGTCCACCCAACCACCCAACCCAACCAGCACAGCGCAGCAAGTCCCAGCATTCCCGCCACCCAACACACCCATTCAACATTCGAACCCACGATACCCTGGCAAACTGAGATTGCCACTGCAACGAGTTCACACAAGACTCTAAGACCCTGACTTCCTGAACCACATATCTGGCATGAGTGTGTTTTGGCCATCGATTGCTCGACACTTTGGGAGCTTCAACCATCAACACCAAACACAAGCCGGTAAGCTTGAAGTTTGTCTGGTGTCTGGCTACATACGTCGCTTACGTTCGCAAGCAGTCGACACATGCTCATGACTCATAACCCAATGCCCGAGCCACACACAGACTGGGTTGATTGAGATGGAGCCAAAACCAAATTGATCAATAGGTACCGGAGAAACTCAAAGCATTCTGAGACTTATAATTTCCCTACCTCGATTCAGAAACATGCCTCCGAGGGATCTGCAGTCGAAAGTTGCGTATCGACATCCTTAGGTCGCGATGTAATTTGCCCAAAGCATTGCGCCACGACGCCCATGAATTTGGGATGAAAGACAACCCGAGACGCTCAAACAAACTCCAGCTGAACTGAAGATGTTCACAAGGCACAATGGGAATGTATGGCGCAAAAGGTGTTCGTACGATTGCATTGTTTTGCTGGGTTTCGGTCCAAGGGTGTCGAGGCTTTGGCAATCACAAGCCTCACCAAGGCCCACTGACTTTCAAAGATTCAGCACGGTCAACTCATCCAGCTGCCGGCAGAAGAATTTATCCAAATCACCAACAGTTTGCACCGGCAAACAGAATGCTCCATGAAGCTGATTTCACAGAGCTCCCGAGTTCACATACAGTCGCCAAAAGCAGAGATCACCGCCCGCAAAGCCAAAACCTGACTAGGTCTGGAAACTACAAATTTGTCCCATCTCCTATTGGTTCTATTGGTGTCCTGGGTAAACTAACAGCGCAGCTTGCCATCCAATTCACCTTCCCGCCTGTGGGGCTGAGGTCGAAAAGGCTGGCATCTTTGAGGCCCGTGGCAGACCACTCCACCCACTCCTCCCCGCTCTCCGCGGGACCTGGCCAGAGAGAACTGTGCTCGCAACTGTGGGTACCCTCCCACCGACTAACAAGGAAGTGCACAAACCCCATTCCGTCTTTCTACAAAAATCTGTGCACTTCCATGTTAGTCGGTGGGAGGGTAAACGCCCGCAAGAAAGTGTCATGCCTCGCAGGTCCGTGGGAAACATTGTCTTTGCCGAACCAAAACAAGCGCAAGATCCAAGCACATCGACAACAACATAACTTGGCCCATAGGCTGCAAAGTTACGTGAAAGGAAGGCACCAGCCATCGAGACCGTTCCCAATCTACTTGACTGGGTCTATTAAGCAAGTGACCTCTGAAAATGAACTCATGGCATGGACCCAGTCAACTCGGACCCAGTGTTTGATTGGCTAGTCAACTCATGGGTTGATTCAACCCCCAAAACTTGCTCTCAAAGTCGGGAAACGGGGCCCGTTCTTCTCCAACATGCAGCACCCAGCGCCATTTTGTTTCAACGATCGAAATGCTACTTCGGCCGTCCGCCTTGCTGGGGCTCCGGAGTCGTGACATAGGCGCCGGTCTGGGTGTATTTCAAGGACTTGGGCCTGGTGCCACGGGGAGCTTTTCGGCTTCCGGGAAGTCCCTCAAAAGAAACATCCAAAACAGGAGCCGCAAGACACATGCACGCAAACAAAGCTCTGCACACTGAACATGCTAACTTGCGGGAGTATGAAAGATAATATGATTCAAGACCAACCGCACAAGAACGCCTGCAGGAGCGATCGGCAAACGCGCAGGTACTGGCTCCAGATGGTGCATGTGTGAAGATGGTAGCTTGATGAAGCTAAAATGCTTTGGCAACCTGCGCGATCGCTATTAAACGTGGGCAAACGGTTGCCCATTTGCCTCCCAGGAGCTGCGAACTGACTCGGAGTCCATGGAGTGGGTGTCATCTGCTTGTGGTCTGCTGGTGTTGCTTCTTGTTTGGCTTATGGTTGGGAAATGATCTGACTTGCTATGATTGCATGTCCTTGCTAGTGTTTCGAAGTTGCGGATTGTAGTTGGGCGTATCTGTTTGCGACTGCTTGTGGCTCTTGTGGGGTGTGACATTGTGTGGGAATTCTACTGGCTCATGCCTGCAGACTCCAACTCCATGATCCTCGAAACAATTCGTGTCGAAAATGACGACTCTGTAAGAAGTTCTTCCTTATGTGTGCTCCAGTTTGACAAGTCATTCTCTTCATATACTGCGCTCAGGCTCTCGTTGAAGCTAAGTCAAGTCAAGGGGTTACGGATCCCTTCTGAGAGGCAATGTTCACTCAGTGGGGAAACAAACCAGAGTCCCCCTCAGAAAAAGA